ATAGTATTAATAGAAACCACTTGCACTGAACCCCACAGATCCGCACACACGCGCGCGCGCGCACGCACGCACACACACACACACACACACATAAATGAAGAAAAATCAAAAAAAATTGAGATGATAGAAAAAGAGATGACTATGATCGCTTAATTTCAAAGAATATAACAACTTCGCATGAGTTCTAGTGCATTTACACATTCGTGCTGTTGTGTTTTCGATCATTTCTCGGTAATTACTTATCCCAAGAATGCTATTATTTTTTTCATAGACTCTTTATTTTAATCTGTATGCTCATGTTCTTCGACAGAAATGTATTTAGACTGCCCATCTGTACCAAAACTGACGTTTTCTTTTGTTACTTTCATCACTTTGATAATTTTCCGACGTTTGAATAACAAGTTTAAAGAAAACAAATTCTACATTCCGACGCAGATGATCTCCAGATGGGTGTATAAGGGTTGTTAACCTAACCACGCCGAATGAAACTGAATGAATGAATGAATGAATGACACAAGTTACGCGAAATCTGTAAACGGTTCGGTACACAACATTTTATAGCGCATTACGACAATTTCTGCGCAACAATTGTGGTGTTAGTCAGAATTTATGTAAAACACAAGGAACACTCTTTGCGACAGATCGATTGGTTACTTTGAACTTTGTGCTGTATAATTTCTTTAAAAGGCAATCCTAAAATATCACAGTGTATATACCTCAAATAAGCAAAAAGGAATTCTAATTTGTCATGCGGGCGAAAAATCTGACATATCGTTGAGAATGAAGTAAATATTAATATATAATTTCAATTATTTATATTCTACTGCAGCTGAGATATGATTTTTTTTTTTTTACATCGGCACAAACTTGTGAAAGCACTGTAGTTCAGGATATATGCTTCATTCTAGGCTTAGGGGAGACCTTGGACATGCCATTAACGTCACTACAAGTTCTTAATCTGAGTAATCAAAGCATGCCATCATAGTTGAGGGATGGGCATCTCTTCTGTTTGAACATACGCACAACACTCTTAAATACAGTACAATGTCACAACTTCTAGAACCCTGCCACAATCTCTAGCAGTCAGCTACAATCGCTAGCAGTCCGCTACAATCTCTAGTAGTCTGCTACAATCTCTAGCATATGGTCGCAAACTCTAGCAGTCAGCTACAGTCTCTGTCAGGCTGTTACAATCTCTAGCACACGGCCACAATCTCTAGCAGTCATCTACAATCTCTAGCAGTCAGCTACAATCTCTAGAGGTCAGCTACAATCTCTAGAGATCAGCCACAATCTCTAGCAGTCATCTACAATCTAAAGCAGTCAGCCACAATCTCTAGCAACTAACTACAATATCTAGCAGTCAGATACAATCTCCAGGGGGTCAGCTACAATCTTTAGAATACGGCCACAATTTCTGGCAGTCAGCTACAATCTCTAGCAGTCAGCTACAATCTCTAGCACACGGCCAAAATCTCTAGCAGTCAGCTACAATCTCTAGCACAATGCCAAAATCTATAGCAGTCAGCTACAATCTCTAGCAGTCAGCTACAATCCCTAGCATACGGTCTCAATCTCTAGGACACATCTACAATCACAAGTATGTAACACCAGAGATTGCTACATCTGTTTATTTGTTGGTGATTAAACACATACATTAGAGACAGTTGTCAACAGGAAATATGCAGCAATTGTTATAAGTTATAAATACAGTAATTAAAACATAAAAATTAATAAAACTACCGTTGTACTCTTAAACAAGGCACCGTTTTTAATAATCACAACCTTATCTAAATAGCTGCTTCTGCAACATCATATATAATAAATTACGTTCGAATAACGCACACAGCAACTATTTACAAACACAGTAGACTGTAATGCTTTGTCTAGAATACACAAACATTTAAGAAAGGAATTTGATTGGTCGGCTCCATTGTGTTGCACGTCATTCACATAAATAAACATATGGGGAACCCTTGAGGCCGTAGAAATATATGTATAATAAACAAGTATAGAATGTATTGAGTGGAACTCATAGAAAAAAGTCGAAAGAAAAAAGGACACACTAGACAACATAAAAATCGAAAGCTATATTAACCGTGACGGGAATCGAACCTGTCACCTCCAAATGGTATCCGCCTCGCAATGGAAACAAGTGTACTAAGAACATGGCCAACTAGGCACCCTAACGGCCTCAAGAGTTCCCCCCTTCTATTTCTCTTTGTAAAGTCGATATAAAATAAGGGAATATCTTCTTCTTCGCAACCACTGGCTGTAACACCAGCGGAAAGTCCCGGATGTTCGTCTACTTTTGGACATTAGTCTTGTTTCAGAATCTGAGTGTTGTGTTAAGTTAGTTGCGTATCCTGTACAGGACGTTGCAGAACCAACCCTAGCATTTTTGACTGTAGTGGTTTTTCTAGGCAAATTTACGTCCAGTACTTTGCCATTCCTTCCTGGACGGTCGGCTCTCGATACCGCTGTCGAAACCAAGGCGCAAGGCTTGCAGCTGGGAGTCGAACCGAATGTTGTGTGCACATCCGATTTACATATTTGAATTGTTTGTATGCATATTGTTGGTTCCTTGCCTCTCAGGCAGATGTACTCCGATTTCAAATGGAAGTCCAAAATGAGTCGAATGTTACAACATGCTTGCTGGAAGACGGTCTTTTCTTGTTTTCCCCCACAATGGGGTCCGGGAACCCACAGGGGGAAAACAAATAATGTAATAGAATTTCATAAATAATTACTCTTCTCCTCACTAAGAAACTTGTGATGAGTTGATCGGTTACTCCCTGCGTGACCACAGCACTAGGTTTTCATAAGTCGTTTATGTACCGGTTTAAGGAAGTGAGGGGATCCACTTCACTTCGTGGCACCGGGATTGTACTCCTTGTGGCTAGATTTCGAGCCGCGGGGCGCCTGGTCGCTTCTGGAGGGCTTCGCACAAGACACGACCTTCATAACTCAAGCGATGATCCCTAGGAATTTACAAAACAACTGCACTCCAGAAATGAACTACGCAGTGCGTCGTCCCCCCCCCCCCCCCCCTTTTTTTATGCGGAGTGCCACCTGATGTTTTGACCACTCTGAGCTTACAAAATTTCCGTGTGAATGGCAAATCAACAGGGCAGTTCCATGATACCCCGTTCAACTTCTGAAAGAGGTATAATTGGAGCACCAGACTGATATCATCTGCGGTCCTATGCGGGCAAGGAGGGTTTTATACAATGTCAGATGGAACCAACGGACTTTAGAGTGTCAGGCATACGCACACGCTTCACCACAACTACTATGCCGATCTCTCTTTCTCTCCACCCCACCCCCTTCACCCCTCTCTTCTCACAAACGATCCCAGTTATAACCTCTCTTTGATCTCTGGTAACAGAGGTCAGTCTCCCTCAACCCCCAGGACTGCAGTCTGAAAGATCGCCATCCAGTGATTTAAGGAGCCAGTTTTCGGCTACCAATCCCACAGTAGCAAGCCCCAGACACCCCGTTCAACCCAGTGATTACAAAGTCACCGGCAATCCTTGATGGCTAGGTAGATGATGTTACTGTCTTTAACATGTCAGTTAAACATTAATGTAAACACCTGTTCCCCTGTACAAACGTTGAGTAATCCCTGAGTGTATTATATACATATATAGGTCATGGAATAGTAACTATTTCGCACGCGCACTCTCACACACATATGGAATAGTAACTATTGCGCACGCGCACTCTCACACACATATAGATACTTGTTGAAAAATACTGCACGATTCTTTGTACCGCGTGAGTACACGCAGTGAGCTGTAATTACAGTATAAAAAGTAAAGTGAAGGACCCTTTTCCACGACTTTAGTTGTACTGGACATTTCTTCTTCTTCTTTGCGTTCGGTTTCATATGCTCGGATCAGACCATCAGGTGGGTTGCCTCTATAAACTCGCGTGTCAGCTGCAGGTCCTTCGTGGTTCCCCATAGCTTGCTCTGCACACTTTGCTCTTGAGGTCAGGTATCTTTTCGAAGGTGTATACTAGACACAAAGGACTAGACTATATTTTAATAGACTAATCTCCATTTATGGGGTGATGTGGTCAGCATCAATCCGACCGACCGACCGAACAAAATATCTTCGCCACTGCCGGTCCCAATCACGGACGAGTGATGAAGGAGGGCTATCGCAGCCATGTACTCACACACAAATTGCACGGAGACTCACGGGAAAAGACCAGTGAAGAGATCAGAGAAATGTCTGGGTATCGCTGGACGCCATTGTTGCTCTCCGGGATTACTATCTGTAGTTTTACCACCTCAAGATTGCAAATCAAGCAGGTAGACAACGCAGAAACTCCGTTCAGCAGTATGAGACAGTCATACTAGAGCACCATGATATGTACAAAGTAACCTGACTGATCCACTGACTTTCAACCCCACCAGAGCGGACATCGAACGATAAACACCCGGTGACACAAAGAGCCACCATTCGGATAAGAATCACCCGGGCGCAAGTCACAGAAACCCCGTTCAACCCGTAAGTTATACCCCGCCCCCCCTTTTCAGTCTTTGCTGCCATGATTTGTCTCTTTTGGGAGCATGTCTTGAGCCTGATGATCTGGCACAGCATCGCTAATGTAATCGCCAAGCACTCTACAGGTTAGCATGTTCATTTTTGGCCAGGGACAGGAAAATGTCCATCACCTTAAGTGAGAATTAGATTCTGGGCCTTTGGAATGAGATCTTATATATCGTTACAGAGGCTGACCTCAAAATCTTTTGCTGATCTGTAATCAACCATAGAGGATGTCCTTAGGGACTCTGACATCCATGATCCGCACTTAGTATTTCCTCGGTTTTCGAAGACTGGGAATTGAAAAAAACAGTTGTGATAGCTGCTGTTTCCAGCACCTCAGTGCTGTATTTGTAACCTTGTCTTGCCATCTAATACCAAGTATTCTTCGTAGACATTCACGTGAGGTATTTCAGTCGTTTCTCCTAAGGAATGGTGGTTGCTGAGTTAACTCTGTTTGGACCAAGATCTATGCAGTCTAATCCAGTTTGACAGAGGGCTGGGTGGAGTCTTTGGACTTCTGTTCTTTCTCGACACGGGCTCTGTCATTTTGAACCTGAGAGACGAGAATATTGAAAGTACAAGTCAGTAAGCAGATATTGTCTGAATTTCATTACGATAAACAAACAAAATAAACAAACAAAAAGCATAAATATGATCCTCTAAAGACACATCAGTTGTTTTATATCGTGCTAAATTATTACGTCTATCAACTGCCTGCCACACCGGACGGAGCATGGGATAGGCGATTAGCACTTTAAGCTACAAACGACCCCCCCCCCCCCCCCCCCCCCCCCCCCCCACCCCGCCTTTACACCCCAGTAAATAATAAGTAAGGAGGCCCAGTTGCTTCCCCCCCCCCCCCCCCCCCCCAATAATAATGTACAGAAGTTATCGTTTAAGTTATTGTTGACACAATAATTTTTTTTTTAAAGTATCAAGAAACCATGGCTCGGTTCTATGGATATCGCAACCCTTCGGCCTTGATTCCATGATAGATACCGTAAATCTGGGAGAAATGTGGCTTTTCTGAGTACCTCCGGGCGTGAACCTGGGCCACAAGGAGTTTGTCACCTGCCCGGTCACCGCGCAGTCAGGTTTAGCCAGCTGTGCCGGGCTACACATATATTATTAACTAATATATTTATTACTCATTCTTAGTGCCATTATTATCTTTATTGTTATTACTGTTATTGCTGAGGAATTAGGGAATGTTAGCCCTTGAGTCCACCACCCTCCTTCTCTAGAAAATGTGTGAAGGGAATGAGCACCTCCCTCGTTCTACTCCCTCTGTTTTGGGTCAGTGCTCCTGTCCTGAGATAAAGTAAGTTTTAACAAAGTCACTCTATAGTTTGTTCCCTATGTTATGACTTTTAATAAACGTATTCTTTAAATTTTACTTTACTTTGGTAACTTTCTCTAGCCTTCTACTACACGTAACCGTTCTTTTTTTTTTTTTTTGCTATTCATATTGCGGTCTCATTAGTTTGACCTTTTCCCCCCTAGAGTTTGAAATCGATATTTGACAAACAATGACTTCTCTTCTGAAGCTGTTGCGACTGTTTCATACATTCCCTGTCATGGTGATTTATATAGTGGCTGCATATAAATTATCAGCACAGGTCCTTAGGGTAAACAATTTGTACTGGGGTACACCACTTGTTGTACTAGGGTGCACCACTTGCTGTACTAGGGTACACCACTTGTTGTACTAGGGTACACCACTTGCTGTACTAGGGTAAACCACTTGTTGTACTAGGGTACACCACTTGTTGTACTAGGGTACACCCCTTGCTGTACTAGGGTACACCACTTGTTGTACTAGGTTACACCACTTGTTGTACTAGGGTACACCACTTGTTGTACTAGGGTGCACCACTTGTTGTACTAGGGTACACCACTTGTTGTACTAGGGTACACCACTTGTTGTACTAGGGTACACCACTTGTTGTACTAGGGTACACCACTTGTTGTACTAGGGTACACCACTTGTTGTACTAGGTTACACCACTTGCTGTACTAGGGTACACCACTTGTTGTACTAGGGTACACCACTTGTTGTACTAGGGTGCACCACTTGCTGTACTAGGGTACACCACTTGTTGTACTAGGGTACACCACTTGCTGTACTAGGGTACACCACTTGTTGTACTAGGGTACACCACTTGCTGTACTAGGGTACACCACTTGTTGTACTAGGGTACACCACTTGCTGTACTAGGGTACACCACTTCTTGTACTAGGTTACACCACTTGCTTTACTAGGGTACACCACTTGTTGTACTAGGGTACACCACTTGTTGTACTAGGGTACACCACTTGTTGTACTAGGGTACACCACTTGTTGTACTAGGGTACACCACTTGTTGTACTAGGGTACACCACTTGTTATACTAGGGTACAGCACTTGTTGTACTAGGGTACACCACTTGTTGTACTAGGGTACACCACTTGCTGTACTAGGGAAACCATTTGCGTAAACTAACTATAAATTCATTGGAGGTTGATCGGAGTAAATGGACAGCCCAGATGGATCGCCAGCCAGGATGTGACTAAAAGTCGGAAGGCTAGTCAAACAATCAAATAGCAATCAACCCTGAGAAGAACAACAGGCAAACTTTTCTGATGATTACATGGTCATCAATGTTCTTATGATTATAGTGGTAGTGGATGATGGTGATTATGATAATAATGTTGATAGCAAGTGCTCTTTTCTTCTAGCGGTACACAATGGTATGAGGTACTGGCACCTTTTTAAGGCAGTTTTTTTTTTAAAATAGTTTTTCTATAATATACCTTTTTTCTAGAACAAAAATACTTTGATGATAATGATGTTGGTGATGATAATGATAATGAAGAAGATGATGATGAGGGTGATGATCATGATGATGGTGGTGATGATGATGATAACGACGATGATGGTGATGATGATAGTGATAACGATGATAATGATGATAATGACGGTGATGATGATGATGGGGATGATAATAATGGTCAAGATAGTGATGATGATGACGACGACGATGAGGATGATGATAATGACGATGATGAAGATAATGATAGTGGATGATAATAACTACAATGGTGATGGTGACCATAATGAGCTTGTCTCCGGTAACTGACCTTGCTGCGAAAAGTTTGTCCGACAGAAAGGTGGGCAGTGAGCCGATGATGAAAGCCCTCAGTTGAAACCTCCAGTAAGGTACATAGCGATATATGGGTCTCTGGGCGCAGACCGCCTCCACCATGTTGTCAACAACCTAGGAGGAGCATGGACGTTAATATAGGCAGGTGTTTGTTACATTTTGTTGTTTGCTGATTTGTTCTTTTTCTTCTTCCTCTTCTTCTTTTTCTTCTTCTTCTTCTTCTTCTTCTTCTTCTTCTTCTTCTTCTTCTTCTTCTTCTTCTTCTTCTTCTTCTTCTTCTTCTTCTTCTTCTTCTTTTCTTCTTCTTCTTCTTTCTTCTTCTTCTTCTTCTTCTTCTTCTTCTTCTTCTTCTTCTTCTTCTTCTTCTTCTTCTTCTTCTTCTTCTTCTTCTTCTTCTTCTTCTTCTTCTTCTTCTGCTCCTTCTCCTTCTTCGTCTTCTTCTTCTTCGTCTTCTTTGTCTTCTTCTTCTACTTTTTCTTCATCTTCTTCTTCTTTTCTTCTTCTTCTTCTTCGTCTTCTTCTTCTTCTTCTTCCTCTTCTCCCCCTTCTCCTTCTTCGTCTTCTTCTTCTTTGTCTTCTTCTTCTTCTTCTTCTTCTTCTTCTTCTTCTTCTTCTTCTTCTTCTTCTTCTTCTTCTTCTTCTTCTTCTTCTTCTTCTACTTCTTCTTTTCTTCTTCTTCCTCCTCCTCCTGTGTACCCTGCAATCCTTTGCGGTTGTGGATGAATAAAATTGATAACAACAACAAGTAATACAAATGTTGCTGTCTCCACCATGAAGGTTTGCTGCAATGTGTCCAAAGTAGGAATATTACGTGGTGAGGATAACGTAGTGATGATTACGTTAGGACGTTATAAAACAATTTCTCGAAACTCTAAGCCGCAGTATAGGGAAAGTTGACACGAGAACGTAAGTAAGTAAATCTTAACTAATGACATCACACAAGCGATAAACACACGGTGACACAAAGTGCCACTATGCGAATGAGAATCACCCGTGGAGAGGTCTCAGAAACAACACTCAACCGATAGGTTATATTACTGACCTCAGCAAAAGCCGGAGTGGGGGCTTCAAAATAGTAAAAAAAATAGAACGTCAAAAATACAAATTTGAGAGGGAAACTGGTTAACGACGCATCTTGTGACTCGTGTTATCTTATTTACGCGTGTATGGGCCGCACCCAGTTTCTAAGGCGATATTATTCGGAGAACAATCATTTTCTTAGAAGTTGGTCGAGAAACCAAAATCGAAACAGTAGTACCTGTAAGCAATAAAAGTTAGGCCGCGTAAGAGCAAATTACAGTCACAACGTAAGTTGCAAGTAGCAGTGTATGTCTGCAGAAAAATAAACGCCAGGTATGGGCATCCAGGGGCTCTGCCTGCACAAATGAACTTGTGATTTCTCTCGCTAACAGTTCTCTTCCCCAACGCCTCTAATTGAAACGGTTTTCATACTCAAGGAGTAGCACTTATACACAACTACAGCCCATCTTTGTGTCGGGGGCCCCTGCCCTCCTTCTCTTGGTATAATATTTTTTTACTATAATTGTTTCCAATCCGTCATTTGGCGCTTGATTTATGACCAAATCTTTTCAGCTTCCGAGAAGTTGGAACTCTGGTTTTATTAGCCTGGTTGTTCACCCTTGATGACTTTAAGATCTTTCAAGATGTGCAGTATTTCAGAATTTTCTTCTTTGTATGCAAGATGTTCTGAGAATCTTTCTATAGCATTTCAGCTCAAAAGCCCCCATTTTCTCTTTCTTAATGACTGATGAGAAGTCCATGAGTCACAATGTTTTTATGTAGCGACAGGAAAGATGCATGCTCTCAAAATTCTATGTTTTGATCTCCTGCTGGTGCTTTACACTATCAGATACAGTTTAATAAGGTTGATTTAATCTTTGCATTGCTATGACAACCATCGGTCCTTTTAATGAACTGTCAAACAGTCTCCATTTGCTGTTTATTATCCACCTGCTAGATATTCAAAGTTTGTTACGTAATTGCCCGCAATTTCTTTGGAGTTTATTTTATTGTTATTTTTGGGTGACAGCCAGTTTTATCTGTGGACATTATTTTCGTTTTCTTTAAATTCAAGATTTTGATCTTCACTGTGCTTTTGGACAGACAATACTAAATTTTATATTCCCTTTACGCTGTTCGAAAGGAAGACTGTGTCATTTGCGTAGCGAAGTTCCGAAATGGGGTTGCCACTAATTTTGAGCGGATCATAAATGTCACAAGTCTGGTCAAAGAACAAATTACAGTCACAAATTTAAGTTGCAAGTAGTGCTTTATGTGCCAATGAAAAAAAAAGCCAGGTATGTTTGGGCTAGGGGCTTTGCGGCACACAATGACCTCGTGATTTGGCGGCTGACACCTACTGAGAGAAGCTGTTTAGATTCAAAAGTTATTCTGAAGATACAGAAAACATACAACTACAGCACGGCAACTGATAATGCAGATGAAATTCCCGTTTAATAATAAATTTTGTACAAATCGAATAGAAGCCACGCTCCATTTATTCCTTACAGCTTTTAGATTATCCTCTTCTTCTTCTTCTTCACGTTCACCGGCTGTAAAATCCTGCAGAAAGTTCTGGTTGTTCATCCACCTCTGGGCTTTGAAGTTGTTCCATAACTTGAGTGTGGCGTGCACATCCTTTTTACAGATTTGACTTATTTTTATGCAGATTGTTCCTTGACTCTCAAGCAGATACACTCCGTCTTCGAATTAAACCCCCATTTAGTCTACTCTTACGACATGCTTGATGGAAAGGCGGTGTGTCTATTCTTATTCTTGTCTCCCCCCCCCCCCCGACAATGGGGCCCCGGAACCCACACCAGGGATATTTTCGGTAATACTGGCGCCTTTACACGCATCAATACAGTATAATATGATAATGATGTCACCGACAAGGAAGTTGATGACAACATGGCGGTGATGAGATGACATAATCAACCAACCTCTTGCACATTGGGTCGAGCTTGTTTGAGACTAAGAGACACCTGCTGCAGGAAGACATCAAAGTATTCTTCACCGTAATCTGCCCGCACTTCCGTTGGAGTTTCGCTCCAGGATTTCTTATTGTGGTCTATCAGATAACCCTCATGGGTGATCGGAGTTCTGAAAATACAAACAGGCAGACGTGTTTAGGCTTTTACAGCGGATCAACATAATGGCACAACGAAAGTAACCTATCAGCGGATCAATATCATGGCACAACGGAAGTAACCTATCAACGGATCAATATCATGGCACAACGGAAGTAACCTATCAACGGATCAACATCATGGCACAACGGAAGTAACCTATAAGTGCTCCGATCTACTTCTACTGCTCGTTCTGGCGATGATCCTGAAATACTTTTGGATAGATTTCTAACTCAAAATTTTGACCGGGCAGCACCGTTAGACTACTCTGTTCGATTTCCAACTGTCAAGGGATTTTTTTACGAATTTAACAATGCACACGGGCGTTCGACCTTACTACCCAAAGACCCGGGGAAATTACCAGAAGTCCAGTGAAAAAATCCCAACCTTTACCGGGACCTCCAGCATTCGAGACGGACACTATGCCTGGAGACCATACAGCGTGTAAAGACCGGGAGGTATCTAAATACTTACTATAGTCAGCCTCCATATAAGCAATCAATTATCCCCATAATAATTTATACAGTGTCTACTAACAAACAAACTTACCTGATAAGTAGGTATACATTTATCTATTTACTTATGAATAAATAAAGGAATCAAGAACTGACATCACTGCACTTGGGGCTTTCCCAAATGTTCTCCGTCTCCTTCTTCGGTAACCAAAGAAGACGTTTCATGCTAATAGTACCAGTTGAAACCTGACTAAAAGTCCGCCTCTGTTTCTCCTTCAATGCTGAAAATCTTCCAGAATCTCTACACCCCTCCTTTCCGTCTTTCAATGTGTGGATTCTCTATCTGTTCTTGCCCACTATCCATTTTATCACATGCATCCCTCAAAGACAGCCGGCGCAATGCTGACCACATTACCCATAGAGTGCTGATGGTCTGTAAAAATATGGGACGCTCTGCCCATATGCCTGGTGCGCCGAAAGGCGTGAAAAGGGAACTTTACTTCTAGCGGCGTCCGTGGCTAAGGAGTTGCGAGTCCGACTCGTAAGCCAGCATACCGCGATCGAAACCCACTGCAGGCTGCGTGGATTTTTATCGCGGTATGGGACGTCGCAGGTCAAAGACCCTTGGCCCTGAAAAATGGGTATCATGGATGGGCTGTCCTGGGAAAGTAAAGACAGCCGGCGTAATGCTGACCACATTACCCACAGAGTGCTGATAGTCTGTAAAAATATGGGACGCTCTGCCCATATGCACGATGCGCCGAAAGGGGTGAAAAGGGATCTTTACTTTACTTATCCCTCAATACATCCGCTTTATCATAAAGCAGTTCACCACCTAGAAGAGTGACAGCAGCTAATCTATCAGTCTGCTCGTTTCCTCACACACCTGACTTTCCTGGACAGAGAATCCATGACATGCCCCTGATCTGCGTCTTGTCACGTGATCCAAGCCACTCTGCGCGCAGGACGCCAGTTTCTTTTTTTTTCCAAAGCATGCTCTGTTACAATTACAATATAGGCTGTACTGCTCTCAAGCCACCAGAAAACTGCCGTTACTGTCTCCACCTCCATTCTCCTACTGGATATAGTGATGTACGCGAGACTCTATGTTTTCAAACAGTGTCCATTCGCACTTGCACTAAAAACCTTCTCACACATCTTACCCCTGACTGCAGACGCAGCTGTATCAATTATGGTGTCACCTGGGCGCGAGTTTTCATTGGTGAGCTCTTGCACCGCTGACTCTGTTTCACCAGCTATCCATTCCCAAGGTAACTATCACTCTGTGCAAGTCTGATTTTGCTGGGCGGCACTATAACCCTTTCTTCGCCATGCGCTTTCTTGTCAGTACACAAATATATGATTACAATAAAGGTCTATGGCAGCAGTTCTCAACCTATGGGTCGCGACCCTTTTGTGGGTCGAACGACCCTTCCATAAGGGTCGCCTAAGACCACTGGCAAACTCGTATTGATTGAAGTTATAAAGTAGCAATGAAAATAATTTTATGGTTGGGGGTCGCCACAACATGAGGAACTGTATTAAAGGGTCGCCACAACATGTGGAACTGTATTAAAGGGTCGCCACAACATGAGGAACTGTATTAAAGGGTCGTTACAACACGAGGAACTGTATTAAAGGGTCACGGCATTAGGAAGTTTGAGAACCACTGGTATACAGAACAAAAAAGAGACAGAAGGAGACAACGAGAGAAGATTCTTGACAGTCTTTTTGTCGTGACATGGCGGGGTGCCAGCACACGCACTGATACATGTCACTGAAGATCGCAGATTGTGAAGACGCATAATCGCTATGCCAGTCGGCAAGGCACTTGATAACGATGATAATTCTTATTAACATAAGCAATAATGATGACAACTTAGACATTAAAAAAAGAAAGTTTACTTGTAAAGGCCTGGCTCGATAGTCACCACAGAGATGTTAAACTTGTTCATCTCTTGTCTCAACGCGTCGGAGAAGGCGATGCATGCTTTCTTTGACATGGAGTAGGCGGCGAACGCTGGCAGAGTAAAGCGACCTGCAGACGACAGAAGACACGGCGGAATAATACACTGTCCTCTTCTTCATGGCGGGGTTACTTCGGCGACCGGGTCGCCCGTTGGCTCGCCGGTAGACGACTTTGTCGCCGGTCGGGACAGTATTTGGGTCTGTCTCATTTGATCACATCAGCACTGCAGGAGTCTTCTTAGGGCTCTTGGTAGCTAAGCTATTTTATATGATGCACATATCCGAGTCACAGTTATAACCTAAAGCTTCCCCTTCGGGTGAACCATTTCTTTTCCAACAAAGCATGGCAGTGACGCAGTCACCAAGAAAACATTGGGGGGGGGATAGGGGCGTAACCGCAAGGCTCTTGGCATGGGGAGTGGGGCCTCTAAGGGGCCGTATCCTTATGTAAGAGCATAATAATACTTATTTTATTAATGGGAGCCACCGTGCTTTAGCGGCTAGACGCTTGACTGTGGATCCGAAGGTGGTGGGTTCAAGTCCTAACTGTCGGACTTTTCTTTTTTTTTCAAAAAAAAAAAAAAAACTACCTTGACTTCCAGATGGACCCAGCCTGACATGGACACCATGTGAAGTCCTGGAAAGTAAAGGTGGTCGGCGTGATGTTAACCACATTAGAAAACAGGTCTAGCCCAGTACGTATTTGCCTACTCTCCTGGATGGAACCAAAGTAACCTTGGAGACTGCTTGACAGCAATCTAAAGGAGGATGGCCATAGCAATGCAAAGATTAAACAGCATTAAAACTAAAGCATAGTTAAGCACCAGAAACCAAAATTAACATTTTGAGAGCATGCATTTTCCCTGTAGCAACATACGGATGTGAGTCGTGGACTATCTCCCATCTTTCCTGTAGCAACATTCGGATGTGAGTCGTGGACTATCTCCCATCTTTCCTGTAGCAACATACGGATGTGAGTCGTGGACTATCTCCCATCTTCACTGTAGCAACATACGGATGTGAGTCCTGGAATATCTCCCATCTTCCCTGTAGCAACACACGGATGTGAGTCGTGGACTATCTTATATCTTTCCTGTAGCAACATACGGATGTGAGTCCTGGAATATCTCCCATCTTCCCTGTAGCAACATAAGGATGTGAGTCGTGGACTATCTCCCATCTTCCCTGTACCAACACACGGATGTGAGTCGTGGACTATCTCCCATCTTCCCTGTAGCAACACACGGATGTGAGTCGTTGACTATCTCCCATCTTCCCTGTAGCAACACACGGATGTGAGTCGCGGACTATCTCACATCTTCCCTATAGCAACACACGGAT